TGCAAATATGGCCTGTGTCTGTCTGAAATATTATTTGTTGTACCCATGCAAGGCACCCACTTCTGAAGAAATAATCCCATATTATTCAGTGGGGTCAAGAAAATAAACAGGGGTCACAGGAGCTGTTTCTCAGCTGTTTCTCCATCACGTGGGAGCCCAGAGCACACCCAGGCTGAGGATGCGTTAGGAAAGAGAGGGCCTCCCCGCCTGCAGCCAAAGGTCCCCTCGAGGGATATCTCAGTCTCTAGGAGCTGGCAGGGGTCTGTCCTTTCACAGATGAGCAGGGAGGAACAGATGGCAGAGTTGAGGCTGACCTCTGTCCACATGTCTGCCTTTAGTCTACCCAGCACATTAGAGAAAGTGTCGGATAGGAGGGAAGGAAAAGAAAATTACAAAAATAATAAATCTCAAACCAATGCACAAAAGGTTTAACAAAGGATCACAGATGCAATTTTTGTAATACCTCTCTCTCTCTCTCTCTCTTTTTTTTGTTTTTTTTTTTTTTGTTTGTTTGTTTTTGAGATGGAGTTGTGCTCTTGTCGCCCAGGCTGGAGTGCAGCAGTATGATCTCGGCTCACTTCATCCTCTGCCTCCCAGGTTCAAGCGATTCTTCTGACTCAGCCTCCTGAGTACCTGGGATTACAGGCGTGCACCACCACGCCTGGCTAATTTTTGTATTTTTAGTAGAAACGGCGTTTTACCATGTTGGCCAGGCTGGTCTCAAACTCCTGACCTCAGATGATCCACCGGCCTTGGCCTCCAAAACTGCTGGGATTACAGATGTGAGCCACCATGCCCAGCCAATACCTCTGTCTTTCTACTGCCTGCTTCCTGGAGTGGCTGGGGAAGGGCTGGTCTGTCTGCAACATAAACCAGTGACTGCTTTCTCCACCTGACGGTATGGGGTGCCAGGCAAAGCGATGGGACTCCCTCCTGCAGTTTGCAGAGGGGCAGATGCCAGTGCTTTTATACTCGGGGTAGAGAAGGAATTCGAGAGCAGCCGCACCTTCCCCTCTGAACGACACTCTTGGGTTCTTGCTGGGGCTGGGCCGAGTTCAGCACACACATCCTCACCAGCACCCATCCTGGCACAGGCTGCAGCTCACACGCAGTGCCCTGCGGGTGTCCCACCAGCACTCGACCCCCAGCCTTCACTGCGCTTGGCTTTCAGCCTCTCTGGACACTTCCTGGGACCACCCACAATTGCCCTTCATCTTCTCTCAGCATGATTTTCCAGAAGGATTAGTCTAAGTGTAAACGCCATAGGCCTTCTGGCCCTCCAAAAAAAAAAAAAAAAAAGAAAAAAAAACAAACAATTTTCTTTGTGAAGTAAAAATTAGACTCTTAAATCTGCAAAGAAAACTGTTTATCTTACAAATTTATTCTTTTTATTGGGCCACACATATCCAAGATGGAAAGATAAAAGGAAAACAGATACAGGCCGTCACTTAGAGTGATGTATAATGAGGCAGGGCTCATCCTCATGTTCTGCAAAATGTTCACAGTGCAGGGCGGCCGTATTGCTATTTTTATCTGTAATATGGCCTGGGCAAGTCCTTCCCAAAAGCTCCAGGAGAAATATACCCTCCCTCATTTCCCTTGCAGTGTCTTCTTTTTTGTGATTTTTTTTTTTCGGAAGATTCAGGGGTACATGTGCAGGTGTGTGGCACGAGTATATTGCGTGATGTTGAGGTTTGAGCTTCTAATGATCTCGCTGTGCAAGTAGTAAGCACAGTGGTCGATAGGCAATTTTTCAACCTTGCCCCCCTCCCTACCTCCACTGCCTTTGGAATCCCCAGTGTCCATATATATTTTTTGAGACAGGATCTTGCTGTGTCACCCAGGCTGGAGTGCAGTGGCGTGATCCCGGCTCACTGCAGCCTTGACCTCCCGGGCTCAGGTGATTCTTGTGCCTCAGCCTCCCCAGTAGCTGGGACTACAGGCATGCACCACCACACCCAGCTAATTTTTGTATTTTTAGTTTTGCCATGGTTTTGCCATGTTGCCCAGGCTGGTCTGGAACTCCTGACCTCAAGTGATCTGCCCACCTCAGCGTCCCAAAGTGCTGGGATTACAGGTGTGCACCACCACACCTGGCCTCCAGTGTCTATTGTCCCCACCTTTGTGTCCATGGGTACCCAGTGCTTAGTTCCCCCTTGTAAGTGAGAACATGAGGACATTCTCCTGCAGCTTTATTCCATAACGGTTCCTTGCTACTGCTCTCTGGCGGGCTCCTCTGGAAGAAGCTTTAGGGGAAGGTCCAGATCATGCCACAAGGGACCCTGCAGTAATTACACTTTTTTTGTTTGTTTGTTGCCCAGGCTGGAGTATAGTGGTGCAATCTCAGCTCACCACAACCTCCCAAGCTCCCAGGCTCAAGCGATTCTCCTGCTTCAGCCTCCCGAGTAGCTGGGATTACAGACACGCACCACGACCACCTGGCTAGCTTTTGTATATTTAGTAGGGACGGGGTTTCACCCTGTTGGCCAGGCTAGTCTTGAACTCCTGATCTCAAATGATCCACCTGTCTCAGCCTCCCAAAGTGTTGGAATTACAGACATGAGCCACCGTGCCCGGCCCAAGAATTACACTTCTGAAACCTGCCCCTGCCTACCTGCATCCTGAAGCCAACATCCAGGACACCTAAGTCCTGCTTATAATTCCAGTCAACAGTGATTGGCCTCCTGACTTAAATTGGCTATCTCGACTATGTTGCCAGGAGCACTTGGGCAGAATTTTAATCGGGCTCATCATCGTTTGAAACTGACCTTCATGATCCCAGCAAAAGGGAAGCTGAGGGAGGCCGGGAGAGCAAATGCAGCATGCTCAGGGTTGGGGTGTGTGGGAGTGGGAGAGGGGTAGAAGGAGATGGCCTTCCCGCTGTCTAAAGCTAGGGTGTGGTTGGCTGGAAATGACATCTGGTCATCACTCCCTCTGGCAGCAGCTCCTGGTAGACTCAGCCTGCAGGACATAGAGCCACTGTGACTGTATGTAGAGCATTTGCCTGATGGTGACTTTGCAACACTCTCTTGTGCCTGTTTGCCCGGATCAATCAGCCGTCTTTGGGGGCCCTTCCACATTTATTTGGGCAACCACAATCTAGGGCTTGGTGGAGTGACTTTGAGTTCTAGATGTGGATGAGCCTAACCTCCTACTTGTGCAAAATTATAAGAAAAAAAGCTAGGTAATTATACCCTTTGAATAGCTCTCCAATGATGGTTAGAAGAGTTGGGGAGAATAAGATTGAAGTGAGATTTCAAATATAAATAACTTTGCCCAGGTGATGATACGGTCGTACACAATCCAACTGCAGAGAGAATGCTCCAAGCCAAGAGTTTCCACAGTTGCTTAGAGTGAATACTCAAATCAGAATTAAATGTGTGAGACCTGGTGTAGTGGCTCATGCCTATAATCCTAGCTCTTTGGGAGGCTGAGATGGAAAGATTGCTTGAGACCAGGAGTTCAAGACCAGCCTGGGCAACAAAGCAAGACCCTGTCTGTACAAAAAATAGAAACTTAACGAGGCATGGTGGCCTGCACCTGTAATCCCAGCTACTTGGGAAGCTGAAGCAGGAGGATCACTTGTGCCCAGGAGTTTGAGGTTGCAGTGAGCTATGATTGTGCCACTGCACTCCAGCCTGGGTGACAAAATGAGATGCTGTCTCAAAAATAAATAAATAAATAAAAAGAATTGAATGTGTTGGCCTTCATCTTTCTCATGGTCTACAAGTCTGTCCCTTTTTTGGCTGTTAGCAGAGAACGCCAGGAACAGACGTTGAGGAGTAAAAAGAGTTTGCATTTTCCATTGCTTGGAAGGTACAGATCTTATTTATTAATCTCTGCAGAACTCACAGATCTCATTACCCCAGAATGTTCCCTTGTTCTCCTCGTGGGATTTACCGTGACGCCTAGAGGGTGGGCTGGAAGCTACGGTGAGGATCCCACTATCCTCAGGAGCTTAGATTCTGGGCCAGGCCTTCAGACTCCTGCTCTGTGGGGAGGTCCACGACTGTGGAAGAAAAGTGAGCCCAGAGAAGGTTCTCTTGCTTCTCCTCCTTGAGTTCCCAATTGTCATCTCTTTGGTAGTGTGATGTCAGGCCTCGGGGGTTGCAATAACATATCCTCCAACCACTAGACATTTTTCCGGTTTTATTTACTATTATATCCCACAATTTCTTTGCAGAAGGCAGCCATATGTAAATTTTATTCCGTTTTCTAATGGTTTGGGTTACATAACAAATAACAGCAGGAAGGAAAATTTGTATCGATACTTGACAGAGGAAGTTCTCAAGTCACTGCAAAAAGATGTGTCTGCAGTGCTGTAAGTTTATGGGAGTTTTGCAGCTGAGTCTCTGCATATGACTTTGAATATGTCACTATATGTTTATCATGGGCTAATTGTGGAATCACATTTCCATACTTTTTCTTCTCCCTTTCATGAGATTACACCAGCCAGTGATGGATACAAGACTCTACAAGGAAGAAATGATCAGTTTTGGATAATTTTCTTTCCTGTCCCAAAATAGCCATATGTCTGCATGTCTTAGGGACTCAGCTGACACACATTTTTTTTTTAATTTGTTGCTTGCTATAATGCAAATATGATTTCAGTCTTATAGTGAACTCTACAGTGAGTCCATATTATAAATTAATCAGATTCAACAAACACCAACATTTTTAAACTTTTGAAAAAAAATATTTAATAGGAACTAAGCAAAAGAAGAAATCAAACCAGCTGCTGACACAGCTGTTTCTTTTCTTGTTTAATTCAGTTCAATATAAAGGTACCATATGCTGCTTAAAATGATGATAGGAAAGATGAAATAATTTAAGAGAATAACAAGAAAATACATGAATTGTCAGCATTCTGTCAGATTTAAAGAATGAAATAGACAGGTGTAGTATTGACATGTTTAACTTTGTGTGGTGTTAGCAGTTTTGGTGCGAACAACTCCTGACATGTGCTGAAGTGATGTGAGAACGTTTCTCCTTCGCTGCAGACATTGGCGAGGAGGCTGGGAGATCCGCCGGCGTCCAGCAACCGGCGCTGCTTCGCGACAGAAGCCTGGGCTCGGCCATGAAGGACTGCCCGTACTGTGGGAAAACTTTCCGGACATCCCATCACCTTAAGGTGCACCTGAGGATACACACAGGTGAGAAGTCTGAGTGCATCCAGGGGCACAGCCCAGAGGAGGAGGAGTCCCCCGTCCTGCCTGCTTTCTGGCCCAGGTCCACAACTGTGTGAGTCACTAAGTCTGGAAGGTTCTCCCTGGGCCTGTCTAGCTGCCACTGTGTGGATCATAAGCGGCCCTCATTTCCTGATTCGTCCCTTAACTAACATTCACCTCGCAAATGACGCAGGGACTCGTAAATGTAGACTCGGATGGTCCCAGCCTGGGATAACTGGGTCGCGTCTGAGCCTCTAGGGCATTTTGCGAATGGTTTCCTTCTGCTGTATTGAAGGGGTCCCTCCCCACGCCCCTGTATGAACCAGTCTCCCAGGTGTCAGTGATGGGGTCTCAGCTCAAACCTTCCTAAGTGTACCCCAAGCAACCAGGTAGAATAGGCTTTAGCCCGGCCTGCGTTGCTTGCCCAGACCTGGGACAGGGCAGCTGGAGTCAATCCCCATCACTCCATGTGGCGTGGAGGAAAAGTGACTCTTCCCTGTGTCTCCTCAAAGGAGAAATTGAGATGCTCTTAGGCAAAGGGGGGCAAGTGGCTGCTGCACCCCTTTGGCGGTTTCTCATGTCTTGGCGTCATACCGACTGAGGACTGGCTGGCAACAGGGAGTTCTCTGTGTCTCTCAGTCATCGTCCTTTTTAGCTTTTCTGCTTGTTGCTTGCACATTGCCAATATAAAAAAAAAATCTATCAGAGATATGGACACTTCCATTTTCTTTGATTTTCCTCCTGACACTTTATCTATTGGAGTATGAGCTGCTTCAGAGGCTAGACAAATATGCCATCTATTTTCAAAAATAATTGTGGTATATTTCCCAAGGAATCAATAAGGCTGTGGGTTGCACAGGAATATTGAGTGCATGTGGGCCGTGTGGGCATCGCATTGGGGGAGACAAGAAACCCCTCACCTGGAGCCTCACCTGGTCCCCACAAATCTCCCTGACGCTGAGGGAAGCCTGAGGACAGATGGGCACAAGCGGCCATGGGCTGAGTCACTGGCCCTGCTCACCCTGCATGCCTCCCTTGGAGTCATCTCAGGCCAAAGAGGTGTCTTTTAAAATGGTCCTCCAGGTCCCACTACTCTCCCAAACAGCCTCATGCCACCTGCTCATGCCTTGCCTCCGGCCCCATCCTGCCCCCTTCTTCATCCTTGGCACCTTTCTGAAACAGCGCCTGCCTTCTTCTTTTCCTCAATGCAGAATGCCTGTTCCAGCTGCAGGACCTGTGTTTCTGCCCCTCCCTCCCACCTGGAATCTTCCTCCAGGTGATCCCTGGAGACTTAGCTTCACTGGGATCTAATCAGAGAGGCTGACCCTGACTACCCCACCTAAAACAGCCCTCACATCCCCTGCATTATCTTCTTTATAAACTTAACAGTTTCGGAAATAACCCTGTTGGGGTTCATCACTTATTTGTCTCCCACCAAGCAGTGTCTAAGATTTGCACAGGTGGCAATATTGTCCATCTTTTGAATTGCTCTCATTTCTATAACCCCAGGGTCTGCAAGGGCATCTTACACCCGGTAGGGGCAGATGAATTTATTTGAAAGATTGAATGACAGAAGAAATGCTCAAATAAGTGAGTGACTCCTCCTGTCTTCCCTGCATTGTTCAAGGTGGCATGGAGGAGTCAAGGGCTGTAGGGAAAGTGGTCCCTTCCCCAGGGAACACAGGAACCCATCAGAAACCACGGCCTGGCAGTCAGGCTGCAAGCGCTGGTTTCTTGGGCATAGACAAAGTGGAAGATCCTCTTCCCGGGAGTTTAGGGAGGGGGCCTTGCATTCTGATCTCAGGGTCTTTGCCCTTTGAACTTCTCTGCCAGATACTTGCATGGCTTGCTGCTTCCCCTTCAGGGTCTGGCTCTGATGCCCTCTTCTCTATGAGGCCCACCCACGTGGTGGTGCACCCCCACCCCACTGGGACTTTCTAGACCCCTTTCCTTCCCTGTGTCACCTCTCCATAGTGCTCACAGCATCTGACACATCATGTCTTTGTATTTCATTGTTGTTTCTCTCCATGCACTAGAATGTGAACTCCTTGAGAGCAAAGGCTGTGTCTGTTTGTCCAGCTGCATCCCCAGCCTAGAACAGAGCCTGACCCATGTAGGCACTCAGAAAGTATTTGCTGACCCAGGCATTCCTGCGTCAATTGGTGAAAGTGACCAGGCTCGAAGGCAGTCAGCCCAAACATGTGGTTTTCTCAGATGATGCTAATGTCCATTTTCCTCCCCGGATTGGAGCCAGGGTTGTGGTGATGGTTGGGTGGGGCGGGGACCTGCAGACTGCCAGGATACGGGCGGTGGTCCATAGGGCACCCACCCTTAAGCTGTCTGCAGGAGTGTGGAAACCAGGCCAGGCTTGTCTTGTGTATTTCATGTCGATACAGAACACTGGACCACGTTTCCCAGCCAGGTGGTGGCTCTCCATGGGTGAGGTCGGCCTTGCAGAGTGTAAGAGTCAGTGAGGAATGGCGGTGCCTCTCAACAAGGGGCTTCGCTAACCGTGTCACCCCAAGCCCAGTCAGCTTCCCTGGACGTAAGAGTAGACACTCCACAGAATATTTCCAGGCAACTTAGGGCCAAGGCTGACGGAAGTTCTGGGGAACCTGGGAGAGAGCAAATGGTTACTGCTCTTCGCAGTTTTCAAGCTTGAGAAAGACTAATGTTTCTGAACTGCTTCACAAACCTCGGCATAGTCTTTAGAGACAAGAGAGGGCCATGGACAGAGGCATTCTGGAAACTTCCTAGAATCAGAGAGAAAATGAAAGAAGCCATGGAAACATCACACCACCTCCACCACCCCTCGGAAGCAGCATTTGCCTTGTGTAACAGGCAGAATGGTAACCAGATAAAGATCAATTTCCTTTTTATCTAAGAACAAAGAAGCTGGAAAATGCTTACACTTGTGCATTTGAATAGAACAGAAAGTGTTACATGTTATAAATCACCCAAATAAACATCTATTATGACAATGTAAAAGTGTGGATTACACAAGTAATTAAAAATCAAAATCAACGTATTTGTTAATAAGTGATTTCATGTGGGACTCAAGTTGGTGAGAGGCCCTGACTGCCTTCTCTTTTGGCCCCGATGTCTCTCCTTGCTCCAAATACCATACAGTTTTTGTATTTCTAAATGACACGGCCAGAGGACAGCAGTCTCATTATGAAACAAAAATACATGTGCTCCAAAATGCCATCTTTTTGAAGTTTTTAAACAATGGACCTGTAGGAGCACATTTTAAAACTCAACGTGTAACAAATATATTTTTAATTGGGATATGAGGTGGCACCTTCTCTGTATTTTTTCTGTCCGACTACATCTTTATTGGAAGTCTCGATCATGTAACATCAATGGATAAAACCTCTCTCCTTTTTCTTCCCACTGCATTAACTCAATTACTGTTTCTCTTCTCCTAACACCTGTTTGTTGGAGAGGTGCTGACTAGATGCACCAGTCAGGTTGCTCTGAACATCTGGGAGCCCGGGAGAGCCTATGAGTCACTAGGATGTTTCTGGTGCACCCTAAGCTTCAGACAGGTCCACAGGGGACCAAGGGGAGGCTCCTGCAGGACCTCGGGAATCCCCAAGGCCATCAGATCCTGGAGGCTGCCTCACTCTGGCTCCAGGCAGGGCAGACATTGATGGCTGCTTGACCCAGAGAGGGCTGAACTTCTCTCCTCACGGAAACATTACCTTGGGCAGACTAGGGTCCAATCACTGGATATGGGCAATTTTTCTTCTACAGCACAGTGTCTGTGATTCGAATTCAGAGCCAGTTGTTGCAGGCTCAGAAAGGAGATTGCATCAGTCAGGGTTCTTCAGAGAAACAGCACCGATAGGAAATGTATATATGGCCAGGCACAGTGGCTCATACCTGTAATCCCAGTACTTTGGGAGGCCGGGGTGGGAGGACTGTTTGAGCCCTGGAGTTCAGGACCAGCCTGGGCCATGTAGTGAGACCTCATCTCTATAAAAGGAAAGAAAAGAAAAGAAAGAAAAGAAAAAAAAAAAAAGAAAGAAAAGAAGGAGATATGCTACACACAGAGAGACACACAGAAACACACAAGAGATTTACAAGAAATTGGCTCAAGTGATTATGGAGGCTGAGAAGTCCTAAGATCCAAAATCTGCAGTTGGTGAGCTGGAGACCCAGAAGAGCTGATGATGTAAATTCCAGTCTGAGCCTGAGCCGGAATGCAGGAGACCAATATCCTAGCTGAAAGACAGCCAGGCAGGGCAAGCGCACTCCCCCTCGCTCAGCCTTTTGTTCTATTCACGCCTTCAACGGATTGGACAAGGTGCACCCACATTGGAGAGGGCCACCTTCTTTACTCAACCCACCCACTCAAACATTCATCTCATCCAGAAACACCCCCACGGGCACACCCAGAAGAATCCTTAACCAAATATCTGGGCACCCTGCCGCCCAGTCAAATTGACACAAAAATTAACCATCACAGAGATACATCAGCAAACATCTAGTTGTAACATGCAACGGGGAGGGCGCATGTCCCCAGAGTCTCCTGAGAGGTTGGCAAATCATTTCAGGATTGGTCTCCATGCGCACATGCCATTCTTTCCCTCCACGTCCCCTCCCTGTGCCCTACCTTGGGAAGCCAGGTGCCTGGGGGTACTCTGCAGGGTCTGATGTATCTGTTTTGTGTGCACAGGAAGCAGGCATATGCTGACAGATCCCTGAAAGGCTGGGGGAGGCTTGGCCCCCTGATGGGTGAGCACCTCCTGCATGGCTGTGGGACTCCTGGCTGGGTTCCCTAGGGCGGCTCTCCCATGTGTGGGTTTTTCAGGATGGGGTTGTTGTCTCAAGGAATGACCATTGTAGAGAAATGTAATAAGCAACTTCACTCGTGAAAACTTGGAGGCATGAAAGTTCAGGGACTAATTAAAAATAAATCTCATTAGTTTCTTCCCCCTCTCGAGTTCTGCGAGTGGTTTATTAATCTGGTTTTGATGTGC